CTTCCGAGGGTCTTCTGACCTGTTTCAGTCAAGATGAACCCAATTAAACCATTTCCACTGTCAGTCTTGCTGATCCAGCTCACTTGGACTGAAATACAAGAGCCTCCATCAGCAAATCCAAGGGACAGTCGCTCCTGGCAGAGGGGGAGGAGCATGCTGTTGGCGCTCGTTATTTCAGACTGATAGCACCCGCTGCTTCCCCCAGCCCAGCTGGATCCAGGTGAAGATGCATGGCCATGGCCTAATTACTGCTGCAGCTGCTTTTATACCAGCATCTCCTTTCCAGACTCCTTGCTACAGTATAGTTCAGCAATAAGCATTTATTCTTTCTAGGAGAAAACTTAACTGAAGAAGGCTTAGCCTCTCTCTCTCTGTCGATATTTTTACTAAATGTTACGTTTAACTCCTGAAAGTCTAAAAATCACTTTGAATTAGATCATACCATCTTGAAGGTTATTAGTCCACAAAGTGACCTCGTGCCTTAGGCTACTTCAAATAGTATAGTTACGTTTCTGAACCGTCAAGGTGTGCAAAGCAATGGCCGTCCAAGGCATACTAACGTGTATCTGTCACAGACATAGTCAGCTCATCTGGAGAGCCACTTCAAAAGCTATTGTTCAGCTCAGTAGAGAGGAGTCTCCCCAGCAAGGAGGAGGCATCTCCCCACCCTTCGCAGAGCTGGACCCCACCTCTGCAGCTCAAGGACTTTGAAGAAGCCAAATGGTTCTGATGCAACGGGAAGAGTTGCCCTGGTTCCTACATACCACCACAGCTTGTGTATATGGCAAAGGTGTGGGAGATGCTGCTCAAAGGAAGAGCTGACCCCTGTCCCCCATTAATTTTTACTTGTTTAAAGTCTGTTTAATATTTTCAAGCAAGTTTTAACAGCAGATAGCATTTATAAAGCCTGACTTTTTCAGCAAACCACAAGTGACCCTCACAGACACTTTGTAATCAATCTCTACATCTGAAAAAAATGGCCATCTGACAACAGATTTCAGATCACCTTGAGCAGCTCCCTGAGACTGCCCCTGGATACTGGGGATAACCCAAGCAGAGAGAGCTGGGAGAAGGACATCTTGTGTGACATGATGTCATGACATAACATTGCGTGTCGTGCTCTTACAAAGTATAGACTGTGTGTCCCTGTGCTTCACCTAACCTTGGACCTCTAACTGGGACTCTTCTCAGCCAGACTTACGGTTAAATAGGTTTTGGACTGAGTTTGGAAGGGACAATAAATCTGTTGGCTTACAGGGTAGATCAGACTCTATTATAAATCAGTGTGCAGATCTTTAAGGGACAGGCTGGTTTTGCCTGTGTAGTGCAGTGCTCCCTCTAACAACTTGTACTCAGCTCTGGTATATCCGAATACATTCGGACCTTGATCAAGTATGGCAATTGCTCTGTGTCTATGATAGGAATTATGCCAGGGCTTGGATCATCCCCTAAGCCATGAGTGCCACAAGGGTTTCTTATGCTGCCAGTCCACAGAGCTTATGCCAGCTTATGTGAGTGCTGACGCTAAAAAAGGCAGGCAGTCACTTTCTCTTGACCTCAGCTGCTCATCTGTCCTTTCACACCTCTCTTATCCAGGTCACCATGGGGCAAAGCAAATGTTTGTACGTCAGAACAAGTGGCTGGGGACAGCAGGAAGGCAACAGCATCTTTTTTGCCAGCAGCACTGTCAACACATTGGTGTGGCTACAACTTCGGTGTCGCCTCTCCCTCAGTTTCTGAGTTATGCTGAGCTGAGTGCAGGTGTGGCTTAGAGCCAGGGCGATAAACAATGGGATGTTTGTACAGTAGCAGGTTTCCGATGCCAAGCTGTGCGCACAGAGGGGGAGGAAAAGTCCAGGCTTCTGAAAATTTGCCACAAGTTCATATAAACTCCCAGTAACCAGAAGGTGTAGGGTTACAGATGACATGCCATGGGGAAATAAAGTTGACTGTGTGTATTTTTGCCACCATTGACTTTATAAAGAGGACAGGAAAAATCCTGGGGTTTGTTTTCAAATCACCCATTTCTACAGAGGAAATTTCCTGATTTTGTAGAGTGCTACAGCTTTCTAGATCCTTTGTAGGAGTAAGGAAGACAAACATGGAAGGTAAAGCAGACTACTATAGCAGAAAAGGAGATATCTTAGCTTTCACCAGAAATTTATTTTCATTCAGGTGTTTTGAAGCTGTATCTTAAGACGTGTAGCAAAAACGCCAGAGCAAATATTCAGAAGCAAAGTTCTTTTGTTGAACGTCTGCAGACAGCGCCTTTAAACGAAAACCAAGTGAGCTCCAGGGTCACATGTCTG